GACACGGTTGCTCCGATGCCTCCCCCGACCTCTGATGCCGCCAGCTGCCAGCCTAAGTGCGTCATTCCGAACTCCTTAGTGCCAGACCCAATGGACTGTACCCACTACTACATATGTGTCTTTCTGAGAGGTTTGACACCACATCCTGTTCGTGCTAGATGTCCTTCCACCAAACCTTTCTTCCACAGGACTAAACTCCGGTGTGAATCTGAGGCTAGATGCATTGAAATGTGTTCTGTTCCCTCTACTCTTCCAGAAACTACAGCACCATCAACAATTGAAGACCTGCATGATCCATGCTTGCCCTCATGCGTCCGACCAGAATCTGTGGTAAAGGATCCCAAGGACTGCCACCATTACTATACCTGTACTGTCAATGGTAATACCACCATTCTTACAAGAATGGCATGCCCTCCAAGTCGACCCGTATTCGATGCAAGAAGTGAAAGCTGTTTAAACTCTGCAGAATGTCTGGTTACATGCCAGGAGAGTGAAACCCAAACTGGAAATGGCACAGATAATAGTTTAATGTTGATCCCAGAAATGTGTCGTCCAAACTGCACTCAACACAACACCATCTTGCATGACCCCATGGATTGCCACTACTACTATGTTTGTATGATTGTACAGGGACAAGCCTACACCACAAGGATTCATTGTCCACTCTCTCGCCCAGTCTTTAATCTGGAGAGTTACAGTTGTCAAGCAGAATCATCCTGTATCACAACATGCCAGTTAACAAATACAACTTATTTGCCAACATCTGTAGTGCCCCCCAGTACAACAGAATACCCTTATATCAATAGTTCTTCATCTATAGTGACATTATCACCCACAGTTATGCCAACATATTCTCCAACACCTGTTAATTTATGTCGACCAATTTGCTCTTCCCAACATACTCTTGTCCATGACCCTCTTGACTGTAACCACTTTTATATGTGCAACATCACTCGCCTTACTCCATATCCTCACTATACACCGATTAGAGGAAAATGTCCCCTAGAACGTCCAGTCTTTGACCTTGAAAAACACTCTTGTGCTGCGGATATTCCTTGTATTACTACATGTGAAGGGGCTGTAGCTACAACGCCTACAACATTAGCTACCACTGTCAAACCTATATCAGAAGTTGCACCCACAATCTTCCCAGGTGATGCTGGGCCTTGCAATATTTACTGTGAAAAGCCAAATTCTATTGTACGTGATCCAACCAGTTGCTATCACTACTTCCTCTGTATATTCTTTGATGGCACTGTTCCTCGCCCTCTGAGACTCAGATGCCCAAGAGAAAAGCCTGTGTTTGATGCGGAGAGTAAGACCTGTCAAAGTCATGCTCCCTGTCGCACCTTGAATTGTCAGCAAACAGAGAGTGAATCAATATCAATGGAGTCCATCACTCCATCACCTGCAGGATTCACTTATGACACTCTAACAACAGAAGGAACTATTAGTGAGAAACCGACACCAACAGAATCTGTTGGTACCAGACCAACACCAGAAGGCGCCATAAACACTAGTCCAATAACAGGACCTGTTATTAATAATCCAGATTCCAATGAAATTATCACTACCAGTCCACCATCAAAAGGGCCTAGCACTACCAGACCACCATCAAAGGGACCTAGCACTACCAGTCCACCATCAAAAGGGCCTAGCACTACCAGTCCACCATCAAAAGGGCCTAGCACTACCAGACCACCATCAAAGGGACCTAGCACTACCAGTCCACCATCAAAAGGGCCTAGCACTACCAGTCCACCATCAGAAGAACCTAGCACTACCAGTCCACCATCAAAGGAACCTAGCGCTACCAGTCCACCATCTAAGGAACCTAGCACTACCAGTCCACCATCTAAGGAACCTAGCACTACCAGTCCACCATCAAAAGGGCCTAGCATTACCAGCCCACCATCAAAGGAACCTAGCACTACCAGTCCATCATCAAAAGGGCCTAGCACTACCAGTCCACCATCAAAAGGGCCTAGCACTACCAGTTCACCATCAAAAGGGCCTAGCACTACCAGTCCACCATCAAAAGGGCCTAGCACTACCAGTCCAATGCCAGAGAGACCTATCATTGCTAGTCTAATGCCAGGATTTAGCAGTACCAGTTCAGCACCAGAAGCACCTATTACTACCTATCCATTTCCAGAAGGAATGGTCACTACCAGTCCATCAAAAGGGCCTAGCACTACAGTCCACCATCAAAAGGGCCTAGCACTACCAGTCCAATGCCAGAGAGACCTATCATTGCTAGTCTAATGCCAGGATTTAGCAGTACCAGTTCAGCACCAGAAGCACCTATTACTACCTATCCATTTCCAGAAGGAATGGTCACTACCAGTCCAACATCAGAGGGAAGTACCAGCACAAGTCAGTTTGAGGGAACTGTAAGCACAGCTTTTACTCTGAATACCACCCCTGCAGTAGAAGTCACTCAACAAACGATATCAAATTCGGATTCTGGGGAGACTGTTCAAGATCACTGTAAGCCAGAGTGCAAGCGTGCAGGTATTCTTATCCCTGATCTGACTGACTGCACTCGTTATTATGCATGTGTTTTTGTAAATGGCTTAGTTCCTCAGCCAGTGGTAGCCAGATGTCCTAAAAAGAAACCTATATTCAGCAACAGTACAAGACGTTGTGTGGAATCAGCCCCGTGCTATGCTCCATGTTCTGCACATGGAGAAACCACCACTAGCAACCCCTCTCCCTCATCATTAGATACTCCAGCACCTATTCCAGGTGAAACCTCCCTCACCACCCCACAGGATCAAGCAGCGACTGGGTGTTCTCATGCTGGGTTCTTTGCTAAAAGTAATATCTGTGTTGGGGTGTACACACATTGCTACCACATTGGTGACCAGATGATGCGAGCAACAAGACACTGTCCTCCAGGTCTGGTTTTCAATACCGTCTCAACGTATCCTTATTGTGTTCCCCCTTCAGACTGCCCTTACGATCCAGTATTGCAAGGGCCTTCTGCCAATGTAAGTAGCTGTACCCACCCTGGAAGTTTCCCACAATGTCAACATTGCTGTTCAGATTATATTCAATGTGAACCTTCCCCTTCTGGCCGTGGGTACTCACCTACTGTGGCAAAATGCCCAGGAAAGCTGGTGTTCAACACAGATCCTACTTATCCAGTTTGTCTGCGGCCAGAAGATTGTCCAACAGGTGGTGGCCAGATGAGTCAGTGCAACCGCCAAGGTAACTACCCTGCCTGCCCTGGCTGCTGCCGCGACTACTTCCACTGCACTTACGACAACCGACTACAGAGAAAGACATGTCCACATCCACTTGTATTCAACCCACTTTCTTCTTATCCATATTGCGTGTTGCCTTGGAACTGTCCTTATGTGCTTCCAAGCCGATCTTGACATGTATGTCTGTAATCCGAAGTCAGTGTTTTAATGATTAAGAGATAATCTATCAAAGCTTATCAACTGTGACCATATCCGAAGTTGTTATAAGGTGTTGTTAGTGAGTGCTCTAGTATCTCGATATGTAAAGTTTATCATCGACTTTCCTTGGGATGCCATATTAAAACAGAAATGTCAACTCCCATGTTAATAATGCCATTTTTCTCATATAATGAAGCTTGATAAAATCAACATTTTTAAGAGACGGTAATGATGAGTATATGGCTGCCAATAATACAATACTTAACACGGGAGTCGAAAAATTTCCTCATAATGTTACGTCATCCCACAGTGAAATTCGTGATAAACAATGGGACAGTGATGTGCCAATTTGAGTAACTTTTTATTTATTTGTTTATATTTCATTGATATTATTTCATGAAAAAGTTCCGGGGAGTTCATGTTGGGAAGGCCTCACAGAAAACCGTATTTCTTTTTCTTTTACAGTTACAGTCATACATTTTTATCGTAGGCTGAAACAGATCAGATGAAATTAAAGCCAAGTGTCAAAAATAATCTTTGTGACGCATTTACAGAACTATGTAGGAAGATAATTTTCCTGCCTGTATTGACAATTAAGGACACCGTCCATTGCTGACCCTTCAGATTTAAATGTATATTTTCGTGAAAAAATGCCTTTGCACTGTATAAAGTTCACATGGGGTGTAATCTATTTCTGATACAATTATGGCCTTGTGTCCACTAATGTAAATTTATACAGAGCCCTGCAGGTTCATGTTTTTCCAGTGTTTGAAGTTTTTATTTGGGAAAATGTTGCTATGAAAAATATTATCAATATATAGCTGTTTTATTTCCCTGTACAATTTAAGAATGCATAAGTAAACAAATGTTGAAGTTAGAACTTTTTAATTCAGCAAATAGTAAGATACACAATGTAGTTCAAATATCAATACGAGAAAAGGACGATCTGACAAAATAAATAAATAAATAAATAAAATGAATAAATAAATAAATACAAATAAACAAAAAAAGGCCGCTAAATAGTATCTTTACTCTTTCTGACCTAACAATATGATATAACGATGAAAAAGGTTGGAAAAAGTGTTGTGACCTCGACCTGGTATTGGTATCTCGGGCAGGGACGTTATTTGGGGGAGGGATATAGTTAACTGGTGTCCGTCTGCAGAGCCCAATAACTCCTATGCCGTAATTGTTTGGGCAACAACATGGAGATTGCAGGTATGACCAAGGCTGCCAAAATATTCTCAATGAGACTAAGATCTGGCGATCTGGATGGATGGGGCACATCATAATCTTTGTTGTATGGAGGAGTGGGGTAGGGCAGGAATAGGTTTGCCAGCGAGTCAATCAGGGTATATTGTGCATGGGTTTGGGACTCAGTTATAACTGTGACAAGGCGTCACAGTTGGTTGGGACTGCGGAAGAAAACTTTGCCTTATCTTTGGAGGCACTGTTGAAAGAGAAGGGTATTATCGGAGTAAGGAGCTGTTTGGGGAATCACAATCACGTCTCTTGGCTGGGCTAAATAGGGTACTCAAAAGGTTTGTAGAAGTGAGAATTGTAGTGGGGCAAGGACGGGTGGTGGAGGGAGTGGTGTGGAGTGAGACAGACTGTGGGGAAGAAGAGCAATAGGGTTGAAGAGTTGTAATAAGGGTGGGGGAAGTAAATGAAGACGATTGTGCAGGTAGGTTGGAAGATATTGGGAATGAGGAAGGGGTATCTTTTGAAGGTTTAGTTATGATCTGGGCAGATGATTCGTGATGGGTCAAGTTGACAACTCGTGTCGAGGAGGTGGATTTTGTAGGAGTGGTCAGAGCCGTGATCAAAGGAGTCGAGGATGCAGAGAGGAGGTTGAAAAAAGGCCAAGCCTCATTGCTCTAACAAAGATGCAAAATCTTCATTGCTGGCCATGGTAAGCGTGAAATACATGGAAAGATAGAAGGTTCACCCCCATGATCCCCATAAGAATTAAGGGCTAGACAATTAACCAAGGGAATACCGTGCCCATGGCTCCCTGAGGCCGTTCATGACTGGCACAAAGTCAGCCGTTCATACTTTCTACACGGCTCTGACGCCTTAGGAATTGGACAGGGGAAAGGGGTTGAGGAGATAAAGAAAAGGGAGTACGAGAAAAGACCGTGAAAAATGAGGAGTCGAGGGCTGAGGCCCAAGGTAGGGGGCCTCAGTTTCCGTCTCCTAAACCCCCACCCACGACAACAACGGGCAAAGGATTGGGGGATGAGTTTGTGTTCTATGCACCCAAACTGTGAAGATCCATATGTGAATTTGATTGCAAGTACAGCAGCAACCATATTTGTTCATCTTTAATGTACTTTTTCCATGTTCAGCCGTTTTTCACAGTTAATATTCCCAAGCATACTTTGTAATGATATACTATTTGTATATACTGCATACAATTGCAAATTGGTATAAATCAGGCTAAAATATATATGAGATATTTGGTTGAACAGTTTATTTCTTTATTAGTGATGGCGGTTATATTGAACAATGGAATTCAGAAATTTTGTTTTTGGTCTAATTTTCCTGAGAGAGAGAGAGAGAGAGAGAGAGAGAGAGAGAGAGAGAGAGAGAGAGAGAGAGAAAGAGAGAGAGAGAGAGAGAGAGAGAGAGAAAGAGAGAGAGAGAGAGAGCATAAGAGAAGGGGAATCTCCTACAGCAAAAAAGGTAAATTAGGTTATTGCCTGTAATAAAAACAAGTAATGGTATTTTACTTTTATTTTCCTTGAAAGAGATTATTCAAAAATATTTTTTCTCGCACATGTACCTTTATTTCGTTTAAATGACAGAAAAATAAATTTCAATAAATACATACAATATATACACAATAACTGCCATCCTTAACATGACATTTACCTATATATTTCAAATACGTTTATTCTTTGGAAATGTACGTAATTCAAACAGTAAAACTGAAAAAAAAAAAAAAAATTAACTAAAACTCAAAAAGTAATCTGAATATATAAAATCATCCCATTACAGAACTTCTCTCCACTAGAAAAAAACTATAAATATTGGCATAAATTCAGTAGGGAAAAGAATGCAATAAAATATGTACAATATTTACATGAATCTTCACATACTAAGTAGGCACCAGTTTCTTCCTTGGACTTCTCCTAAGGCCTGACAGGGAGTTTTCAATGGACTTGCTCCTGTCCTTGGCTGGCGGAGGAGTAGAGGCAGACGTCGAGGCGGACCTCAAGGGCGACTTTCTTTCAGGTACAGAAGACACAACGCTCGAAACGGAGCTAGACAGCCCGAGGTTGAGCTGTCTCTTCACTCGTCGGATCTTGACGGGGACTATGATCTTGCTATCTGTTGTAGATGTTTCATGAGTTGACTTTCCATTTGCTGCGGTCGCACTGGATGCATCAGTGGATATTTTCACTGATCCACCGGTCGTTTCCTCTAGCACGATGTTGGGTCCTTTTGGAATTTCGATGGCTTTCGTAAATGCATCAGTATTGTTGGCTTCAGCAGGACTTTTCTCAGAGTTTATAGCACCATTCTCGCCTGCTTTTCTTTCAGCGTTGTCTCTGACAGCTATCTCCTCCCTTGATTCTGGAGAGAACATTCTAGAACGCTTGCTGGCCATAGTCTTCTCACTAACGGAAGTTCTGGTTCTCTTCCGCAAGATTACTTCCTCTTCGTTACATTCCGATGTTGCAAGATCACTTTCTTTGACAATGTTCTCATCCTGGATGCTCTTGGGATCAGAATTTGAGGTTTCCTGTGACGGTTGTTGGTCCCTGTGTACAAGTGAGATGGCACTCTTCCCGCTCACGCATGATAGACTCATTGCAGCAGATTTGGTAGGTGAGAAATTGGCAGGTCTCTTCGCCCGACGTCGAACGAAGACCTTCTGAATAGTGGTCGATGATGAACTACTTGAAGCTGCAGCTGGGGCTCCATTGCTATTTGCATTCTGAGATTGGGATTCACAACCCGATTCCTCTCGCTTCTTGGCCTGAGCCTTCAGATCGTCGTGGGAACAAATCAGCATCTGTATCTGTGGTGGTGAAATCATGTGGCCTTTGGTAGTATTATGTTTTGTACCTGGTGCCTGTTCTGGCTTATTCTGGCTTTTATCCTCGGTTGAAGTAATGCCATTCTTCTCCAACGTGCTGTGGAGATCAGGGGAAATCTGAACAGTTGGCTCTTTTAATTTGCTACTAGGTGACTTTCTGGGTGTCTTTCCAAGTTTCTTACAAGGCGTTTTTCCTGGAGTTTTCTGAACAACCTTTCCAGGAGATTTGTGTGGTGTTTTTAGCATCTTGTGTGGGGTTTTACTTGTTCTGTGGGGCGACTTATTGGGGGATGGTTTCTTTGGTGATTTTTCTCGCTTTGAAGGTGATTTCCGAGGTGTCTTTCTTGGAGATTTCTTGTTCGTGTGGTTCACTATTTTACTTTGGTCTGGTTCACCTCCAGCCACACTTGAATTTGTTGCTTCTTGTGCTGTTTCTTCAATGACTGCATCTGAGTCACTATCAGAGTCTGAAGAACTTGAACTACTACTACTGCTGCTGCTACTGCTACTACTGTTACCACATTTGCTGCATTGACAATCACTACTATCTGAGTCTGAATCTGAGTCTGAGTCACTTGAACTGCTTGAATGGTCTTCGTGGGCATCAGTAGACTGAGCAGTGGCACTGGCCTTATTCAACACAGGTACATCACTACATTCAGTAGTATGCATCTTGGTGCCAGTGGCTCTGTCTTCATAAGCAGTTTCAATCTCTGCAGTGTTCTCTGATACTTGATCAACATTTCCTGTTTCTAAACTGTTTTCTATGTGGCAATCACCTTCCTTTCCAGTCCCAGTTGCCATTTTATCTACACACTGGTTTAACAGGCTTTCATTACCTAACAAATTTTGACTATCATGCCCCTGACCCATACCATCAATCAGTGGTGTGTCTGCAACAGTACCATTATTGTCTTTCACCAAACTTTGTTCACTGGCCTTTTCATCTGCAAGACCCCTGGTTTCAACAACCTGCTCTTTTGTTTTCATTTTAACATCTGCTTGATTTTTTAAGCCATCATTTGTAGCCCCTGTTGCCTTCAAAGAGGAAGATTTACGGTCTGAAGTGGCACATCTCTTCACTTCATGATCGTTAATGAAGTACAACAATGACATCTCAGAATCTCCACTGGTGCTGAGGCTGTCCTGGCCGTATTTCTCATGGTTCTGCTTTACCAGTATGTCAATGGTATCATCACTTCCTGAAGCAGGGCCTACCTTTTCCGGTACAGCTAAAATAGGTGTAACTTGGAAAAGATCAGATGGGTAAAAAGTTGTGTCATCCTCCATTAAAGTTCTTAAGTGCCTTGCTCTCATGCTCTGCCTTCTCTTCTCTGCATTTACTTCACTGACCTGATTAATCTTCCTTTCCCTTCCTGTGAACACATCTTGCTTCTCCCAAGCGAATCTATCTTTAGTACTATCAGGCCTGTGACATTTAGACAGTGCCGGTTCCTTACATGGGACTCTGTTCTTCCTATCTTCTTCAGTTCTTCGATGTTTCTCTTTGGCTTCTTGTAAAGCTTTTTCATATTTTAATATTTCACTTTTCCTTGTGGGCCTTGCATTCTTCAAATCCCATCTTGGTTCATTCCGTCGTCTTCCTTCTACCTCCAATTTGGGAAAGTGAGACTCCTTTGTATCTTTGTGTGAGGTCTCCCCACCATTTGTTGCTACACTGATTAATTCTCCTTCTTCTTCATCTTCATCTAACTCTCCTTCTTCTTTTTCATCATCCTGGACAATGCTCTTCTTTGGGGACTCCCATAAAATTTTATGTAACAGTTTACTATCTACTGGTACTTTGCTTCGGGTCTGTTGGTCCTGTACACAATTCCTCTCTCTCTGAACTTTGGGTAGTGGATCACTATGATTTCTACTATCTTCCTTGATCTCGTTTCTGTTTTTTATTTTTCCAACATGAATTCCCCTATCTGGAGAATCTCCATCATCTCTCATTCGTCTTTCGTGCACGCGCTGTCGTCTTCTGTACGTTGGTGGCGACTCAGACTGCTGTCTCTTCCGCCGTACCTCCCCACGTACACCATCATCCAAATTTGTCGGTCTCCTTTGTTGTGCTCCATTTGGTAAACTTTTATTTCTTTTTGTTTCCTCCACTTCGTCTCCTTGCATCCTTTTCACTCTCAGTCTGGAATCACTACTTCTTGAAGTGGTGCTCCTTTCTGAATGAATCTTCTCATGATCTGTCCTTGTGTGTTCCCCTTCTTTACTCCTCAGAGGCTTCCTCCCTCTTTCCCTTGGTGGGCTCTCACTATCTCTACGTCTTGAAGTGTTTCTCCCACTCACCCTTTTTGATGAATGTACTGGTGGACTTATTCTGCCTGTATCGTCTAGTTCCGCCATTGCCCTTTGGCCCCGTCTTGTGGTTCTGCCAAATGCCACCGCCATCTTCTCCTCATACTTTGCTTGAATTTCCTTTTCCTTGACCATCAGGGGACTCACACTATCATTTTGCTTCATCTCACACTTCTTTTTCGGTGTCAACTTCATTATCCTTCTGTTTGATTTACCTGGTGGTGATCGACTCGCCGAGAGGTCTATGCTGCTGTCACTCTTGTCATTTTTTCTAGGTGAAACACTGCATTTTCTTCCTCTTGCCCTCTGTACATTCTCAAAGTCTCTTTCAGACGAATGATTTCTTGTTATTCTCTTAGGACTATGTTCCCTACTCTGCACACTTTCTGTTACAGATTTATCACCATTTTCTTTTATGGTATCTACCTGAGAATTATCTGCATCAAATATGGACCCCATTTTACTTGTTTCTGGTTTAGAGGTTTCTTCAGCATCATTTTCCTTCTCATCATCATCACCACCTTCGCTGTCTCCATCATAAAGGAGTTCCTCCTCTCCAGGGAAAAGACTCTCTTCGGGTTTCTTTATAGGTTCTGCATTACGTTCACTGTGTAAACCTGTTCCTTCAATATTCTCTCTTCCATTTTCAGTATTAACAGGCATTCTTTTAGGACTATGATCATTTTGCACAGTGTTTTTTACTGTTACTTTTTCAAGTGCAGATTTGTCATCTTTTTTTATACTCTGAATGGCATCTTCCTGAGAATCTTTTGCATCAAATCTGGACCCCATTTTACTTGTTTGTGGTTGAAGACAATCATTTTTGCTTGAATGTGGGGAATTTGTTTGTGATATTTCCTCAGAATCATATCCCTTGTCATCCTCATCATCCTCATCTTCGCTGTCTTCATCATAGAGGAGTTCCTCCTCTTCAGGGAAGAGACTTTCTTCAGTTTTTGTATTTTCTGTTCTTTCTGTGTTTTCATTGTGTAATTCTGTTTCTTCCTTGTTCTCTTTTCCTTCTTCTTCAGTATCCGTAGGTGTGTTTGATTTATCCTGTACACAACACTCTTTCCCCAAATTATTTTCTTTTTTAAGCTTTACCTCTTCATTATTCTGCTTTTCTTTATCAACTGGATGAGTATCGCCTTTGGAATCACTACCTGATTTACTGCACATCAAATCTTTTTCAACTGGAACTTCTCTAATCCTTTTATCAGAGTTACTTTTGCCCTCTTTCCACAGCCTCATCTGCTGTTGAGTTAGTTGTTCTAGAGTTTAATTTATCCTTACACTGCATTTCCTTTTCAGTACAGTTCTCCAGACCAGAAACCCGACTGACATCTTCATCACTAATGACTCCCTCACCATCCTCGCCACTCATCAGTTTGGATTTCTCTGGGTTAGATTCAAGCCTGTCAACCAAAGCCTCAGGGACATTTGTTATTTCCTTTATGGATGTCCCATGCTTGAAATCTGAGGCTTTGACTTCAGCTTGAGTGCTGCTTGATGGTGGTTTAGCATCAACCTCATTATTTTCAATGGAAGTATTTTCAGTCATCATTTGGCATTGCACCTCATCTGCTGAACTTTTAGTCGGGGTTTGGCATTGTACTACATTACTTACAGATTCATGTAAACATTCAGCATCTGATTCCAGTTTGGCATTCTCACTTCCCCCAATCACTTCCTGTGTCTCTCTGATGCCTAACTCTTGTTCAGACTTATTAGTGGCACTTTCTACAATGTCTGTTTTGAGAGTTATGTCTTTATTCTCCTGACAATCTAATGAGTTTTCATTTCCTTCACTACCAGATACTTGCTTTCTTGCTGATTTCTCACTACATGATTGTTTCTTTGGTCTGGCTTTGCTTGATTCATCTTTTGTTTCCCCTTTTTCTTTGGTATCATCCACTTCTTTGTTTCTTTGACTGTTAGTACCAATTTTCCTTCTCGGTCTACCATTTGATTTACTACTTGCTTCTTGGTCATCAGAATCCTCAATGATTCTCCCGGTTGATTTACAATTTACTTGTGCCTCAGTTAGTGATGTTTGAACTGAATTCTTCCTTGGTTTCTCATTTCTCTCTTTATTAGATGCATTACTATGCCCTTTCATTGTATCTAATGCCCTATTTCTTGTCATAACCCCTATTTGGTCCATTTTATTAGACCTATCCATTCTAGTGCCTTCGATTTTGGTATTTTTGTCATCACATATTTCATCACTGGCTTTTTCTTTTTCAGATACATCCCTTCTTCTTCTCCCTCTCCCATCCTTCTTAGTTTCTGTGTATTCACAGGGGGCCACTGCCTTCACATCAGTTTCTATCTGTTTAGCTGGCCGCCCTCTTTTCTTTCTTGTAGAAATGTTTGTTTTTTCATTCTTCTCTTCCACTCCCTCCTTTCCTTCTTTTTTGTCTTCAAAATCAGGATCTTCTAGTCTTCCTAGAGTAACAGAGGCATATTTGCTGCTATCTTGAGGGGAGGTTTCACAGGTTTGAGGGGGTCCTATCTCAACATCCTCAGTACTGCATTTTTCATCTGACATGGTTCTTTCTTCTCTGTCACTATTACATTTTTCATCCGTCACCTTTCTTTTCTCTCCTTCGCTGGTCTTTCTTTCACTGCAATGATTTTCATCTGTCACTGTTCTTTCTTCTCTTTCCCTGGTCTTTCTTTCACTATTATATTTTTCATCTGTTGCCATCCTCTCTCTTTCCCCACTATTTCTTTTACTATATTTTTCATCTGCTACTGTTCCTTCTTCTCTTTCCCCAATATTTTTTTCATTACATTCTTCATATGTCACTGTTCTTTCTTCTTTTTCCCTAGTCTTTCTTTCACTGATACATTTTTCATCTGTCACTCTTCTTTCTTTTCTTCCCTCACTATTTCTCTCACTATTACATTTGTCATCTACTGTTATTTCTTCTCTCTCCCCTCTATTTTTTTCACTACACATTTCATCTGTCACTGTTTTTTCTTCTTTTTCCCTTGTCTTTCTTTCACTGATACATTTTTCATCTGTCACTGTTCCTTCTTCTCTTTCCCCAATCTTTCTCTCATAATTTACTTCTTCTGAATCAAAATTTTCAAGAATTGTTCCAGCAGTTTTAGTCTCTGATTTTGATACAACACTTTCATCTGTACCTGATGGTTTGGTGTTTGGCCTTCCTTCACTGACATTATCACTTTCCTCACACATTTTTGTACCATTTTCTTTTCTTTTTACTTCAGTATCATGTAAATGTTTGCTAACATTTTCTTTTTCTGCTTCACAAACAATTTGCAATACATTTTGTTCACCCAAACCTACACCCTCATTTGATTTGCAGCTAACACCTGTCTTAGACTCTGCCACATCCTTCATGGTACATAATTTTGTACCAGTCTTATCACCACATTTTTCTTCAAGTGACTGGTCTGAAATGTGTTTCTCATCCTCTGCCTTGCCTTTATCATGATCAT